AAGTATCATAAAAATTAATTATGCGACGCGTTGCAACTGGGATGCATAATTAAGAGCTAGTCCATTAATTAAGATAAGCGTACTTCCCATTGATTCAACGGACGAGAGTGTATCAAAAGACGGTCGTACTTTTCTTTGATGATGTTAAATTAAAATTTTTAAAGGGAGACCCGAGCACAGGACGAGGACCGGCGCGACGGATACCAGGAAGTTGATAACTTTTAAGACAGTCTCGTAATGAATATTTTACTTTTCAATTAAGGGGCTAAGATAGTCACGTGACTTCTCTAAAATTTTTATGTTTCTTGTTCTGTTTGATTGATAACCAGGCAAAAATAGTGGAAAATATGAATTTAATACACTTTTCGTCTTTATATGAGAATATTTTCCGGTCGTCAGGTATTTCTTCAGAAAGAGGAAAGTCAAACCTGGCGCGCACTGGTCATTATTTAATCAGAATATGCTGATATTTAGTAATATGAGCGTTTTAATATGGATGAAAAATCGTAGTTACAATGCCTGCGTTTATAAGCGATTTTTTATTCAAAATAGACTGTTTTCGTTGAAATAATGACCAGAGCGAATTTCCTCTTTCTGAAGAGGTACCTGATGACCGGAAAATATTCTCATATAAGAACGAAAAGTGTATTCCCGTAAACCCATATTTTTGACTTATTTTCTGTGTAACATTGACAGTCTACCTTATCGCGTAACAATCAAAGTCTTCTTCTTTAACCCCTTGAACGACAATTTATTTTCAGTCAGCACTTTAAAAAGAGGAAAGTTAAAAACTGCATTTCTAAAGTGCATAAACTTGTGGAATTGATTGTATAGCCAATACATCCTTAAGAGCGTCATACGGTCGGATCGCGTGGGCGCAGAGAAAGAAATGTTTCCAGTGTAGCCGCGCGGCAACGTAGTGCGTATTCCTGGATCATTTCAATTTCGAGATTCGAACAGAAGAGGAAGTTCGGTGGCGTACTTTTACCCCCGGATGCAATAGGCGAGAGAGTGCATTCCGGATGCTGATAAAGAGAAAAGAGGATCCGAAACACAGAACGAGCCGATGGGATAGGATAGGTAGGTATTCGTTGCACACTTTTTCGGCTTATCAACTATTCATGCGCCGGCTCAAACACAATCCTACATGCTTGGCTTTGGTATTCAATGGTGCATCGGGGCCGGTTGCGAATATATTTTTCGCGCCGCGCGCAACGCCGTACTGCCTGCAAAAACATCCCTCGGACTTTTCAGCCAATGGGGACCTGATGTGTATATTACCGAGTAGCACTGGCGTGAATTTATTTGTTTCCAATAGCTATACGTGTGTCGGAAGCGATACAAATACCGTGCGACTTCATCGGAACCGGTTCAAACCGGTCCCTTGAATTTACTGCAGACATTCGCAAACATTTTTTCCACCGCTTCCGCCTTGATTCAGATTCCCCCTATTTATCCTCACAGATTATTAGGAAATTTTTTTTTTCTATTCTTCAACATATTGAATANAACTATTACGGGGGCCCTCCAAAGTCTCCGACGTTTACATGCTTTTAGTATATGCTGTAGGGTACAGTCTACGGCACTGGTAAACCCGGCCGTAGGCTCGAAAAATACAGAAACGCAGCGCAACGCATCGCATCGCACGCTCTGTGAGGATCGACCATAAAGCATCCCCACCATAGCCACCGTGGCTCTGGAGAGCCACTTTTGCCCATGCCTGGTATAGATAAACCTTTAAACCGACGCTGATTTCGAGTAGAAACCTTACACGATACATCTAACCGAGCCGCAAGTTAAAAATGAAAACTGTCTACCAACCTTGTCAAAGATAAGTAAGCCTTGCCCGTGTGTATGTGCAAAACTCCTTCGCAGATGATAGCGACCTGGACCAGCACGGCGCCGAGGAGGAAAGTCAGCCCAATTGCGCTCTGACCGTATCTCTTGAGGAACGTCATCAGGTAACCGAACCCGATCCAGATCATCACGTGGACATCTTGATACACTGACCAGTTTTAACGGCCACAGAGTCGAGCACGCGCGTACATCAGTGAAAACAGAAAGAGAAGCCCTTTGTAAGCGCGCATGCATCGCTCGCGTGCGGTTAATCAGCTCGCTCGTTTGTCGGTGAGCGGTGTTAATCGCCCGTTAATTGATCGTCGCAATTACGGTGCTTGGTTCAACGGAGAACGCGGTTTACTGCTGCCCGATTCAAAGATAGCTGAGCTTCCTCGTATATAGGAACAGGAACGCCCTTATACATATGTATGCACATATCACGTAGAGTGTGTATATCATACACTTACATAAGAGTATTAATTCGGATATCAAAACCAGCGTAGAATACATGTACAAAAAGTGTATTGTGACATTAAAGCATTAAGAAAGTACAGAGGAAACAATTAATATTCACGAAAGAAATTCAAAATGTCGAATTTACGTGTAAAAATAAGGTACGCGGTGCCCGACGGCAATGCTGCCCCCTGTCGGGCCTCAAACTTGCCTTCGGGCCGCTACTGGGCCCCTTGATTTTCATCATACCTACAGTGATTTTCTTATTGTCCATTCATAAATATGGTTTGAAACCATTTAGTGTAAGATTCAACGGGAATCTACTATAAAATGAAGAAGATGGCGGACGGTTTAAATAAAACTCGTGGGCGTTAAAACATTTGATAATCAACTCTCGCATTTATTCTCGATACCTCAACAGTAGGACAGCTGTACCAAGAGTGCCTCTTTGGTCAAACCTTCTGGTTGTCCTAGGACCTCCCCCATCGCCAGTATGACCTTCGTTCTATGTTTTATGGGTCTTTGTCAAGTTGCGTACCCTTAAAAGGCTGGCGTCGTTGGACGCAGTCACCCCCACTCTACTAAGTGTTTTCGAATTTACTTACATTAGGGAATGATTTTATTAAATGCGTGGAATCTTCAGCTTCAAAATGAGCCCACGTAAGGTTCTATAGTTCTACTGGAAGCTGAGAATTCGTCAACCATTTTGGAGTTCTAACCAATCACGTTTCATATTAAAATAGAGCGAATTTAAAAATCGTAAATATATCAAAAATTAAGTTCTCGGAGTGTAATATNATTCTATAACATATCGAGACGGCACGTATTTGTAGATTAAAAAATTCCGAGATACGAGCGGTATGAAATAAATATGAACCGCTGATGGAATAAACATGAACGATCCACGGCGTCGGGCCGATCGTCGACTCGTGCCACTGAGAAAAGATTCTACCTCGAAACGTGGCTCGATCTTTGGTTACGCGTTTACTTTGGAAAGGCTTTCGTCGAAAATTATTCGAACCGCGTCCAGGTAATCTATTTATCACTCGAGGCATCGCTGTCCCTGCCGTGACTCTTATACCAGAGAGACAGGATGGACGAACGAGAGAGAGAGAGAGAGAGAGAGAGAGAGAGAGAGAGAGAAGAGTTCGACGGTGAACTCTTTTCGCTCGTTCGCATCCATCAAACGGTAATTTTGGTAAAGCCACCGAGGAGAAACGGAATCGACGACGTAGATAAAGTTGCAGAGAAATCGCATTAGCTGGCTTCCAAACTAAAAATAATCGCATCCACCAAGCGCGACGTGACTCGATTATCCTCTCGAATGGCCGGTTAAGATATTTCACTCCGGGCTATTCATTGCTCCCATGATATCCACTCTGAGATGTATATTCAGAAATAACACTCAGATAATTATGAACAATTACAAGTATTTGTGGATTTCAAATTCTTCTGCACTTCCCGTCGGCGAATGGGAACAGCAGAAATGGAAACGTGTTCCATATCGTAAAACCGGAAAGGTGCAAAATTGTCGCCGAGTATTATTCAAGGAGATGATATTTATTCCGTCGCCCTATCTTCTGGTGAACAAATACTGATGGGAAAATAGGGGAAAAAAGAAAATTTCACCGCGAGTTTCATCGGAAAGAGATTACGAGGGAAGAACTCTTTGATAGCTTCAGTTTATAGAGGAGTAAAGCCTCTTTGGGGGTCGCGCTATAAAAATGTGAACCTACAAATAAATTCCCTGCAATAAATTTCAATCCTCTCTAACGGAGATATCGAGAATAATTTTTGATTAAAGATCCCGCTTAATATTCTTAATTAATAAAAATATTTTAAATGAATCAGAACATTGAAGTTCTCTAAAAAAACTTTTGCCAATACTTATTTATTTATTTCTTTA